GCTGAAGTGTGGTGGGAACAAAGCTGGTACCTTTCAAGATTTATAACCTGAGCTTTCTATACTTTTCATCATCTTGAATGCACAAGTATTTTGAGGCTCAATTCATTCTGTGTAATTCCATCACAGTCTAATGATAAAGTGACTGTGCAAGTCTCATTATTTGATAATTCATAATACAAATAAGCCTCTTCATCCAATCCTATGACCAAGCATCAATGTCCATTTTACGTGCCTTTTATACACGAGGTGAACAGGCTGTTTTTAGGTTCCTACCGTTGTAGCGACAACTAATCTTCAAAAACAAAGGATAACTGCTGCTTTGTGACAAAATAAATGGCTTGAAGTAGAAACTGTTTTTCATATGTCAACAAACTGGGCATGCATAAACTCTTGGGAATTTTATACTATACTATTCGTATTTACATACTGAATATCAAAATAAGCACTGAATGGAATGCAAACTAATCTAGAAGTATTACGATAAATCCTTAGATACAACTGCACAATGGAAGTTCTGAAAATCTCAGAAAAAGCATTCCAAAGAATTCAAATAAGGCAGCAAGTACAAGCCACTCCAAACAAGCAAATACTAATAGCTGATTCAGGCAACATTAATGAATACACAGACTGAGTTTCTTTGTGTATGACAAGCAACTTCACATTTAATATGGTCCAAACACTGGCTTTTTCTCATCACATTTGCAGTTACTGATGCATGCTGGCTCTTTCCTACCGTTTTCCTGTGCCTTCTGTAACATTTTCTTTCCACCATTCTAAACTGACCAGTTTCTTGGGTCACCTTTGTCACAGACCAATAAACTTAAAATCATACTTAATACATGGCTCCTTGCAGAGTATCCATGCCCAGAGAAGCTATATCCTATTTTTTGACACATTTCCCCCTCCACCAAGACCTAAAGAGAAATTTTTTTGGGACAAGTTTCAGTTTCTAAATCTGCTTGTGTTCTTCAGAAAGACAGAACAGAGATACTAACCATGTGGTCAATGAAAACTCAACAGTAGTTACACAAGAAAAGAGCTGTTAACTTTTTGGCAGAAGTCCAAATCTGTTGCTATCTACTGGGATTGCCCCTTCATTTCAAACATCTACAGCAGTTATCATTGCTGCTCAGGATCTTATGCAGCATGATCTAACCTTCCCATTGTTAAAACGTACCTAGAAACTGCTGAATTCCACAAGAAATAACACTCACTTGCAACGTACACCTAAGAACAATGGCAAACCTTTGGAAAGCAATTCTAATACACTGCCAGTTTAAAGTCTATTTTTGTTTTGTATATATGTGCAAGATGTCACAGAAAGCAGTGGTGTAAGAGGCAATGGTTGTAGAAAATGTAGCATGGAGTCCATTGACTTCCTGCAGTCCAACTGTTTTCAGTAAGTGAGCTATGACTTAAATACCTTATTTACAATCCATTTATTACATCACCAATGTGTTAGTGCTGCTAACACGTGAAGGCTGACAGTTTAATTCATCTGTGATGAATGAAATACATTACCACCCTGAAAACTGCTTTATTGTGAAATCTCAGTGAACCATATATACAAACACAAAAAATCCTCCTTTAATTCCTGTAGCAGTTTAAAGGTGAAACACAGGAGTGGTTATTAAGCATGAAACACAGCACTCTGTGTGCACTCTGGAGGAGCAATACAGTAGTGTTTTAAGTGAGATAAGGAGAGTGCTCCCCTGTTGTTTCCTTTGGTGTAATTGGTTCATGAAGATCATGAACTAGTTTTCTCTCAGATTAAACTGAAGTGGAAAATGCAGTCCAGGAGCATATCTAACGCACTCCAGCTGCAAACAGGTACTTAGTCCCCAGGATTAGGCTAAAAATAGTTCAAAGCAAGTAACTCTGAAATGCATACAAGTACAGATCCCTGGTTCTCCATTTCAGCTGTTTTGCTCTATGGATCTGCTTCTGTTGAGCTGCGCGGCTCATGCCAACATAGCTGCAAACACACTGCTTCCTGATGGGCTAGGAATGTGATAGGTGAATCAGTTATTTAAATACCAGTATTCACTACAGCAAGGACCTGAAATTCTTTTTAGGCAAGTCCAACCACACTGCTCTTTTAACAACCACGGGGGAAAATCATCAATGCTAGGTTCTTGAAAATCTTTCAGATTTGCAACTTGTCTTTGAAACATGAGCTGTTGTAATTGTTAAGTATTTGTAGTTTAACATCAAATTTAAAAACACATTTTCCAAAAAGGGCAAGAAATCAACAACATACCTTATGGCTTCCTCCACAGATTGGCCAACTATATTTGAGGAGGGACCTGGCTGAGACAAAGGTGTCAGGCTTATCACCCACTTTACTGGCTTGTAGTATTCATCACTGGAACTCAACAGGTAGAAAAGTGTGGTCAAAAAAATCACCTGCAAAGCATATTGGAGTTCTGAATTAAAGTACAATAAATACTTTACAGAATGACATTGCACATCCGTGTTTTAGATATTGAACTTCATTGGAAAAGAACAAGAAACTATTCCACAGGCTTGCATTTAGAGAAACACAGAGCTAGAAGAGTAATTTTCTCCCTCATTCCACGAAGGACAGAAATAGATAATTATTATAAAACTTTTAGTCCTGTTGAACCTCTTCCTAAAGTCACACCCAGATCATGCAGGTTTTTTCCAGCATGTTTAGCAGGTCAAAGAGTTGCTGAATAGTAACATAAAAACCAAAAACTCACCAGATAAATCTGAGTTGTCTCAAGGATCACTATGCAGCTACATATCACTTATGAATTAAATAAAAACTCACACACAATATTTATAATACCTCTTAGACTAGCAATCCTGACTGAATACTCCTCCTGGATTCAAAGATGAGTCTCAGCAGAAGTGATGCCACTTCCACTGTTTCAGTTTTAAGACAAAAAAAAACAACAATCAGACTGTATTAGCTTCCTGTATGTTGAAGCCCACTATGCTTTTCTTATTTTCTTATTATTGTGCTCAGCAACTTCTTGGGCTACGCATACATGACAGAAACGTGTCCAGCTTGAAGCAGAATACCTCAAACAAGGAAAACCCACTCTCTGTGCACCATGGTTTATATTTCCTTCATCTGCAAGCCTTAAACATTTTTCATTTTGGTAAGAAAAAAATTGCTTCTTATTTCCAACCTACTCCTCATGTCCCAGAATAAATCACATCTTAATCTTTTGGTAAGCCTGACCTCCATTAGGTCTCTTATTTTCAAGCATTTTACCTAGTTTGCAGACACCTCATGCCCTTTTCCTGCATTGTCTCTAAACACACTCAGGAAAAAAATAGGCAGACAGCACAAAAGGCAGTATTCCATTACAAGTCTCAAGAATGCCATCCATTTCTATGTTCCCAATTCCTTTCTACTCAGTGAAATGCTACTGCTACTTCCCCCCACTCTCCTCACAGTCTGTCTTGGCTGTCACACTCACCTGTTCACCTACTGTGACCCCTTTCCAAAACATTACACATAGGTGTAGGCTGTATTCCATTTTCCCAGATGTGTAACATCCACCTTGGGTGATAAACCAATCAACTAAACCAAGCCACTACATCAGCACATTTTAACACACTATTAATACTTATTTTGAGATAACAGAACAAACAACTGAACTAGGCCTTGGTTTAATAGGAAATAATCCAATGGCAGTAGCAACATCATCTATGTTTTGTTACAAGATAACCCACACAGCTGCCATGTTACATGTTGCTTCAATTTTGCAGCTTTGTCTACAAAGACCTCCCCTCCCGAGCAAGCATCAATGAAAACAATGAAGTTAACTGGCAAAACAACTTTGCTTTCTAACAAACATTTTTGAATCCTGAACTAAAAACCAGGACATGAGTTTCAGTCAAACTTCCAGTATCAGTATATATTTAGTTAAAACAGGAAGAAGTCCCAGGCTGCTGTCTGAGATCAAGATGGTGACAAGCTTTGAGCTCTGTTCCAGCTGTTTCAGATTGCCTTAGGAGATTTTTAATTTAAATAACTGCTGTCACAGCAAATGAGAAGGAAAAAGTTAAGAAGTTAATTCTACCATTACAAATTACTCCATACAGCTGTGGCATTCAGAAACAAAAGAAACTATAAACATCTATCTCATATAATACACTAAAAAAATAATGCAACCGTTAAATAAAGTTTCTTTAATAAAAATATTTCAGAGACAACTATTTAGTGTGGGCAATAACATCAATAAAGAATTAACTTTGCACAGGAAGCATCTGGTAATTAGGAGCTCACAGAAGTCAAATGAAGAGAAGCTCCCATAAGCCCCTCACACAGATTTGCTAAATACACCAAAAGAAAAGGAAATATAAGGTAAACCTTATGAAATACATAAGTTTCCTGACATTTCCCTGTAACTATTCTTCTTCCCCTTTTCCAAGACCGTTGATTTGTTTAAGAATATGCATATGATGACATGCAATTAGATTACAGTAGTTATGCAGGATATCACAAGTTACAGCTCAGCAAATTCAAGCTCCAGAAGAGCAGTCCATTAAAAGAATGACAGAAAGACTGCCAGATCCTAAATATGGAGGTTACCCACAAATCTTGCCCTTTGCTAGACTGTCCCCCAAATAACAAATTTGAAAGTTGGAAAATCTTAAATAATTTAGGTATAAGGTTAGAGATATTTCCAATGCTTTAAGTTTGATTTCTCATTGTTTCAACATGTGCAATTAGGTTCCTCTAGTAAAAGAGGCCATATAAGCCAACGGAGTCCTACTTACCACTGAAAGCACAAAATTGAGAAGAGCTGTTCCACTATGGAAGAGGATTGTCACTAATGTCGTAACTGTAGTAAACAAGAGGCTCACATTGCGACTCATCACTATCCACAGAGACTCCAGGATCTGGAAAAGGAGTGAAAAGCAAAGAAAGTCAGGCTCTGGGTGGTATTAGGTAGAACACAGAACTGCTTACAGAGTGATTCATCTCTATCAAGCAATACAACAATTACTTTTTTTTTTTTAAAATCATCTTCCCTCACTCCTAAATTACAGCAGTAATATCAAGTGAAAGCACCTACTTTGCCAAAGACAAGTTACTAGGTAAATGGTTGCAGGTTTTAGAATTTTTCTTCCAATGCTCAAAATTATTTCATTATGTAAAACTGCAAAAAAACTAGATGCAGAGACAATTATTGTGATTAACATCACCATCAACTGAAAGCAGATCTTGTGTGGGGAGAGAAGAGTCACCTTTTCAAAAGCAGAAATGCTAAAACACAAAATGCAAGAAGCAACATCCCAAGATAGAAATAAATCTAAAGACAGCTTCAAATCAAATAATAGAATTACTACTTGAAGAGGTTTTTTTAAATGTTTTATTTTAATGGGATGCATAATTTTATAATGTCTGCAAACAACTACTTACGCTGTGATTTTGAGTAGGGATGCATCAGTCAGTGAAGCAATTATGGAAAATAAATCAATGCCAGACAACATACTAGATTTTGTATTAGCTAGGGGAATTAATTGCTTACTAGTTTCAAACAGTAAAAGGTAGCTTTGAGACATGCCTTTAAACACAGAATATCCACTTCTGCCAAATTAGCTTATGTATGGATGCAAACACATGAATCTGAATAGGGCAGCCACTTCATGAGTCAGTAAGGACATAAAGGCATGGTATGGCACAGTGCATGGAGGCATCCTAAACACAATGCACAGTAGTTTCGTAACAAATATCTAATTCAGAAGGAATACAGTAAGAATATATTAGCCAAAGTGATTCCAACATATACAAATAATCAAGGTTACAAACAAAAAGCCATTCCTTCTTTCATACTAGCTAATACAACTGGCAAAACTGGAAGATCTGACACAAAAGCCGTTCTCCAAGTTCAGAGCTCTAAGTGAAGACTTTAAAACTAGTAATAGTTACTCTTGGTTTAATGTCTTAAATCAATTAGACAATTAAACAGACAAAAAACCCTCCAAACAAAACCCCAAACCTCAGTAGTTGGCATTCATAGAATAGATAATGGAGTGTGAGCCATATGATCACCTCTCCTTTGGAACTGAGTGTAACATAGAAGATACTTACTAAGCATAAACTTGGAAGTGAGTAAGTGCTGGGGAAGTGACAGGGAATTATAACACATAGTAAAACCAGAAAAGATCTACATAGTCATGCTTCTTACTATCTAATGAGAATTATGAATTTTAATGCTAATCTTTTGAACAATTTTTATTAGTCTCTCTTGAGAGCTCAGGTGAGGTGAGAAGCGGACATTCTGCTGAAAAATGTTCTCTTGCTAGTACCCGTTCCCTTCCCTCTTCCACGGATTAAGAATTCATTCTGAGGGTACAGCAGTGTTGTAAATTCACACAGCCATGAGGTAATGTTATTTAATGTACATTATGCTACGAGGGCTGTAAACAAAAAGGACAGACGTTTTCAAGGCAACCATTAGCAGCTAAAGCAAAGGCCTTTCAGATGGTTTTCAGGAAGAATAATACTGCTGTTGCTAATAACAGGCCGTAACTTGTATGCTAACTGCAAAGGTTCCAATCCCAGGTGGTCATGTCTGTTACTGGAAACTGGACTGTGAACAGGAGCTTAGTGTCACAGGCCTGTTATGATGTGGAGATTAAGCAAACAACAGCAGCAAAGGCCTTGAAAATAGGTACACAGGTTGAAAACAAAGGCCCCTGAAACACAAGCAATTAATCAATGAAGACAGTATTGAAGACACACAACCTTAAGAGCTAAGAAAAGTCTGCTTTTGCATTAAGAAAAAGCAACTAAAGAAGGAGGAGTGAGAGAAGCTCAAACATGCAAACAATAGGATAAGCCACTTGCCATGACCTGGAAAAGTAATGCCTCTGAATATCACACAGTATATAGTCCAGAGCAGAGGTCAAGGGGTGGAAATTGCCCAGAAAAAAAACACACCTTATAAAAGGACAAGCTCCTTCATTTGAGGGACAAAGATGTCCATTTCAGTTCCAGCTTTCTGTATTTAAGAGCTCTAAGCCTGTTCACTTCTCTGACTCAGACCATCAAGGAGAGTGGCTACTAAACAGCACCACCACAATGGTATTTACATTGTATACAACAGTTAAGGACTGATCACTTTAAACATGCAACAGTAGCAACTAACATATTGGAAAACTAATCATTTGCATGAAGTGTTGTCAGTGAAAGCTGGTCTAGCAAAGTTCTGTTTAAAAGAATAAAGGTAGCTTGATTTATCAGTCTTCTAAATACGAACCACAGCAATCATTAATTCCCTCCCCTGCACACCACCGCGTGCAACACAGTAGCTGTGCTGATACTGGTTAGTGACCGTTTCACCAGAGGGGCTTGTTCCATCTCCTGCAAGACAATGTACATCTGGAAAAGCTTCCCTTAAAGTAGAATGATTCTCCAGTATAGGTTGTATCTGTTTAATACTTTCCCTAGAAGCTTTAGCCTAAGGAGCTGATAACCAGGAGTAACTGCAGTTAGTTTGAATGCCTTTATCAGGTGGTTCAATCAATATTGGGAATGTTTCTCCTCGAAGAATATCTGTGTTAGGCAGTAATTGATTGAAACACTTGAACTAGTTATCACTACAGTTTGCTTTAGAGTAAGTGCAGATAATGCCTTTTGTTCAGCTTTATTATTATGAAAGCCAGTGCATCTTTTAGGACTCATCTCCAGCTATAAGCTCCTCTTCATATGTATGTCCTATTAAAATTTCAAGACACATGCTTTTCACGACTAGGATAAGAAGACAGACACAGAAATTAATCATTACTGACTACAGTATCAGAAAGTGCTCCAATACTTCACTAATAGTCATAAAATCAAAATACATGTACCTGCACCAAAGAGTTCATAATACCATTTGATTCCCAGAGCATATACCACAGTCGCATTAATGAGCTCAGTTACTATGCATAAATGATTTCTTACATCTTGCCAGCTCAGACTAGTTCTCCAAAACACAACTAAGTGTGACCACGTATGCAATATGATACTTTTAATATTACTGTTTTTAAACAACTGAAAAACACCTCCCTTTCCCCACAGCATCCCTTTGTAACTAGCTGTAAGAGATCAGTGTTCAAAAGAGCTATGAATCTGTACAGAATTCAAGACTCCCTTATGCATCACCGCCTGATGTGTCACCATCAGCATTAGTTACTGAGCCTTTCCAATCTGTAGCAGGCAAGAAATCAAAATTGCACTGTTCTTAGACATCTAAGGTATCCTATTAGCTACTTAAACTGGCCACTATCTGAAAGAAAGGTTTAAAAGGCACTTGACTAACATGCTATTTGCTGAGAACAAGTCAGCAAATTTCTGGAAGCCAAGTTAAGTTCATATATTTGATTATAGAGATCATTAACAGAATTATTAAGGGAAGAAAACTAGACACAAAGAGGTGTTAGGAAAAACTTGTCCTTTCCTATACTTTTTTTTTTTTTTCTGTTCAGAAAGATGTGTCATCCTGATAACTGAAAAATGACAGCATTAAAACAAGTCAGTAAGCCTTTAAGGTAGAAGAGACAAAAAATGGACTTTGTGAAGAATAATACAGAATGCATAAGATCAAAGGCTTCCTGCTCCAATGAAAAGTTCATTTCCAAATAGATGTTTACTCAAAGTTCTGGGCTAACTGGTCCAGGCTCAACAGCTGATTTTTGAAATAACATCTTTTCTGGACCTTTACATGAAATGGGAGAAAAAATAGCAACAGAAAAAAGGCTATCCTCCAGAATTGTGTCTTAGACTCTGTAAAGAAATCAATTCTTCTAAAAAACATGCATCAGGCTGAATTTCACCTACCCAGAAAAAAACAACACCCATTATGAATAAGAGAGCACTAAATCTCTGAACATATACCTAACTAGAAAAAAAAAGCATGGTAGTTGAATTATTACTGTAGAATGGACAATACTAGCTATAAACTTAGGAGATTACCTGAAGAAATTCTCAAGGCCAGAGAAGACAGGAGGATACGTGATTACTCAGGGAAATATTTGCAGAAACTGAAATTATGTCAGCCTGACTTGATTGGGAAGACATAGATCAGTCATGCTAAGGACACTGATAGAGAAACCTAACTGAGCTGAAGCTTGCTGCATACATCTTAATGGAAGGTCTTTTGTCTTCCTGTCTGGGAAAATTCTGAATGAGAGACTGGCTGCTGGTGGAATGATGAATATTCTTGTGCAAGAAGCAAAAAGATCAATTTAAGGAGACATTAGCAATGTCTCATTTCCCATCAAGGGAGTTGTGAGTGATCATACACAGATGTAGCCAGCAGCAATTTACTTTTTCAAGGTTTCGAGCCTTCAAGAAACGGAGGAGAAGAGTATGAATGGAAAAGCAAGTAAGCGGAAAAGGAATGAGGCTTTTTTTTTTTTTCAGAAATTAAATCTTTATAATCTAGCTATATACTGGATATTTCACTCACCTGAAAAATAACCTTAGAATAGAGCATGGGGTACAAAACTCAAGGCATAAGTGAGGATCCAATCTAGTTCTTTCCCTAAACTAAGAATAGGATGAAATAAAAATCACTTCAGAAACATTATCACTGAATAAACTGGTTTGTAACACTACTGGTTTTAAAGAATACTGGAAAAATCAGAAGCTAAAAGGCAGCAGTTAGCAGGGCTGCTAACACCGAAGCTATTAGAAAAATGCAGTGATGATTTGGAAAAGCTTATCTTACATTACATCTTCAGGCAATTTATGTTTATATAGTGAAATACTTTAAAATAATTAAGGTCCATGTCCATCAAACTAGAGCTAAGTGTAACTGCTATAATGAAAACCACATTTTGAAGGGGGTACAGAAGTCTTCTGTGTTTTATTTGATACTCAGTTAAAGAACTGAATTGATGCATATTGTTACAAATTAAACGAATGCCAGTAATTTCCCAGAACAGATATATCAGTGATTTAACTATAAACTTTCAACTCTTAACATAAAAGTTTCTTCCACTACAAGAAAGCCTGTACTGAAACAGGTCTTCCTTTAACATTTTTCTTACAGCAAATGCTCCTTCTCTTACTAAAGAGGATGAACATTTCCTATGATTTCCATCAATGGAAGAGAGCTTAACTACTCGTGATTGCAATATGACACTGTCAAAGAGCTGTATTTTCAGAGAATAGTCTGTACTATTCTGAAATATTTCTGAAAGTTAAGGGGCTAGCAAGACATCTATTTTGTGATAAAATCTAGCCTCAATCTATAATATATATATTATAAACACACATTTCTTCACAGTTACCTCACTTTTTTTAAATGGCCCCTGACTACAAGAAAGACATCAAGGTACTGGAGTGTGCCCAAAGAAGCGCAACAAAGCCAGTGAAGGGCGTAAAGAACAAGTGCTGTGAGGAAGGAGCATCTGAGGGAACTGGGGCTATTTAGCCTGGAGGAAAGGAGGCTGAGGGTAGACCTTATCACTCTGCAACTAGATGAAGGGAGGTTGTAGCAAGGTGGGGGCTGGTCTCTTTTCCTCAGTATGAAGTGATAGGATGAGAGGAAATGGCCTCAAGTTGAACCAGGGGAAGCTTAGCTGGGGTATTAGGAAAAAATTTTTCATCAAAAGGATGGTCAGGCACTGGAACAGGCTGTCCAAGGAGGTGGTGGAATCACCATCCCTGGAGGTATTTAAAATATGTGTAGATGTGGTACTTAAGAGGCATGGTTTAGTGGTGGGAGTCCTGGGTTAATGGTTAGACCTGATGATCTTAAAGGCCTTTTCAAAAAAAATTCAACAAACCAGATTCTATGAAATGGTTTTTGTTTAAAAAAACAACTGTCAAAACAGTTTTGGGACTGCACCATTGCAGGTTAGCATGGATTGCAAAGGTACAAATGCAAAAAAATCCTACAGTTTGAATTATAGTTACCCTATTTAAACCCTCCCACCAACCCTGCCCTACTCCAACCCCCCACCATACAAAACACACTCAACAACAGAAAAAATCCTACCTGAAGTCCCACAAAACACAAGAAAATAAAGCAAAAAACCCCCAAACCCAAACAAAATACATCCAAAAGAGTAAAGAACCTCTTGAAAACAACAATCCTCATAAGTACCCACACAATTTAAAATACTGATCCTTTCCAACTCAGTATGACATTCTAATAACTCATTGTTCCCCTTCAAAAGACCACAAGAAAGGTTTTCATGCTCTGATAAAAACATAAATCCCAAATACACAAACTTCCATTGTATCCTAGCATAGGTAAGCAACCTGCTTAGAAACACCGGGCTTAAGTCAAAACTATTCTTGTCTCACCATCTCCACTTTTAATGACCTCAGCAACCACAGAAATAAGATATTCCTAATTTTTAATTTGAAATATCAGAATAATATATATGCAATGCACTGCGGATGAGCAAGCCAGCAAAGAAAATGCTGCCCATAAAGAATGTGAAATCAGGATTTAGAGCTCTATACTATACTGAGTGGTTTACAGTCTATCATAACAGACATGAGTGTATGGAGAAAAAGGACAGGTGTTTCCCCACTGCTGCTGAGTAGTAAGTTAATGGAAATGAACAGGAAAGCCAGTTAACTGCTGGCTCTTTTTTTCCTAAACTTCTAAACCAGATTTTACAAGCAAAGCATGCTAACTAGATGGAAATGTCAATATTAATGTAGTTCAGACTTAAATATTTATTTTTCTTTACACTATTTTCTGCATTATTCTAGCCTATTTAGATTACTGAAGTACACTTATCATGGTTTCTGAGCACTCTGCAGAAATGCTGCACATTACATGGCTGGCACCTATTGTGTAGTTTCTCTTCCTTTTCTCCCTCTTGCCTAGAACGAAACTCCATACTGATTTTAAATGAGTTGTCTGTTTTTGTAAGTTAACTTTGAGAAAATATTAAAAAAATGTCACTCTTTATTAACTGAAAAAAGGTGCACTAAAATAAAAAGTTTATCTCAAGTTTTTCTTGATTCACGTAATCATCTGTGGTGGAAACCATAACTATTTAAGCAGTAGTTGAGGGAGGACAGAAGAAGCACACAGGCCCATCAGTCTAAAACAAGAACTGCTTTGAGGCAAATATTAGCTTTAATTGCATCCACATAAATGTTGTGTTTCAAGTTAAGAGGTATAAATGATAATTCTTTAAAAATGGATAAATAGTAACCTGAAGATACTTCAAGTCCATGACAACAGCTCAAGTCAAAGATGAATTATGTCAGGGATTGACTCTATATATATTAAGCATTTCAAACTTGTAATTTTTTAGAGAAACGTAGATACTTCAGTTTGGATTGCTTTGAATGCTTCTTCTTTTTCTATTCATGAGGTGAAAGGTCCAGCACATTAATTCAGGAATTCACACAGTGTAAAATACTAATTTCATTCTCTGTAGAACTTTCATAAAAGGAGAAGAAAAATAAGCTGCTTTCAACCCAATGAATAATAATTTGAAGAAAAAAACCCAACAAAACAGTAGAAAAATACATATGTTTTGCTTTCACAACCTCTTGGTCAATAGTTTCCTCAATTGTAACCTAGACAAATTGGTCTCTTTTAAAAAGAAAAGGCTACCTAATATAAAGCATTTAAAACCAGCTTGCAGGTGACACAGTTAACAATCTCTCTCAAGAAAAGTCTGGGATGCTAGTATTAATGAACAGGGCTGAGAGAGCTGGGTCTGTTTAGCTTAAAGAAAAGGAGGCTGAGGGTGAATCTCACCAGTGCTTATAAACATCTAAAGGGCAGGTGTCAGGAGGATGGAGTCAGACTCCTCTCAGTGTTGTCCAGTGACAGAACAAGGGACAAGGGCCACAAACTGGAGGTTTAACCTAAATATAACAAAATACTTCTTTACTTTGAGGGCAAGAGAGTACTGAACCAAGCTGCCCATGGAGACAGTCAAAACCTGTCTGGACATGTTCCTGTGTAATTCACTCTAGGAGATCCTGCTCTAGCAAGGGAGTTGGACCAAACAATCTCCAGAGGTCCCTTCCAACCCCTACCATTCTGTGATTCTTCATCACAACCAGTTCTGGTTGGTGTATGGTTATACCCTACTAGGCTTACAAAAATTGCTTATGTAATTTTAAGTAACACTAACAGAGTGTTTCCATAATGGTCAATGTACTTGAATCTGTAACCTTAATGCTAGTCCAAAAAGGAATTGTAAGTTAAAAATTAAATCAACTTGATAGTAAGGGCAAAAATACACACCGAAAGAAATGTTTCTATGTTATCATGAACAAATGATGCAACATCTTGCCAGTCCAGAATATCACCAAGCCAGCTGTTTTGACGGTTTATGTGCCATTTGTGTCCTTTGTGTCTTCCAGAATGCGTTACGTTCTTGAAAAGAGAGACAAAAAGAAAACAGACATTTTAATAACTTACAGATATGAGAAAGCCACAGACTAGTGTTCTCTTAATGAGGAACAGATCCAACATGCATCTTAAAACTTAGAGCTGCTTTAATTTGCATCCTCAATACCTGCAAGTAATCTGTACACTGGAGAACTTGAAGTCTAACAGAACACCATAGTTAATCATCCCATGTAATTACAGCTCTGTATATTGTACTGATTCACCTCAGTTAAACATTAGCTTTACTGCTACCTTGCTCTTTATGAAAACACACAAGAAAGAGCTAATGATTTCAGTTAGTGCAAACACATTACTGTTTGCAACACACAACTTTTTTCAGTACAACCCACAAAGAAAAATAAAAGCAGAAGCCAAAACAAGTAGTTTTCTCACAATTAGTGTCTACTCCTCCACTTGCAATGTTCAGTCATGCAAAACCTAAAAGCTCAACTGGAAGCCAGGAGCATTTATTCTGACTACACAGTTTTGTAGCTGCAACGCGGCAAGACAACAGGAAATGGTAATGAGCAGAACAGGCCCTTCCTTAAGTGGCTTCACCCTAGATACCTAGTTACCTGTTGCCCAACTGAATCACACCTGATCACCATATAGCATGACACCATTTGACTTAGTCTAGGACTGTGATAAGAGTTTCAGAGAAGGATGCCAAAATTCTAATATAAGCAAGTCTAAGCAAACTCATTGACTACAACTAATCTTTAAGAGACTTCTCAAGCTCTCAACTCTGATGTTTATATATGCATCCCACTGCTTCTGTTTAAATTTTAAAAAACCTTTAACCTTACCAGCCTGCATTCAAAATGACAGTGCCTCTTTTGGCATACAAGGCAAGTAGTATTCCAAGCAAATTCCCTACTCCAATTTATTTACTTAAGAGCACCACATTTTCTACTTATTACCAATTCTCCCTGGATGCTCTGTTACATTTTATGATGCACAATTACAAACATTCTTTAACAAGCCACAGGAACACAGAGATCTTTCTTCTGAACTGGCAGTTTATTTAGAGCAGAAACATGTAAGTAGTCAAAATCCCTACACCAATTTATTTACTTAAGAGCACCACATTTTCTACTTATTACCAATTCTCCCTGGATGCTCTGTTACATTTTATGATGCACAATTACAAACATTCTTTAACAAGCCACAGGAACACAGAGATCTTTCTTCTGAACTGGCAGTTTATTTAGAGCAGAAACATGTAAGTAGTCAAAAATCTCCCTCCAATAGGCCTTCTGTATTTGTAAACTGTATCAGTAACTTATTTTCTGTTCATCTAGTTCTATTTTCAAAGAAAGCTATCACCATTACCTAGCAGAAGTGGTTATCATTTGCAAATTTTTAACATGGTTATTAATACACATTTCATGTTCACTGTTACTCAGCAGCTATACTGTGTTGTAGCACCGAAAGGACTCTAGTGTAGATACGTAAGATTCAAAGAAATTGTCAACTGGTTAAATTTTTAAAAATTTACTAGATCTTAAAAACAAACCAAAACCCCTCACCTGAATGGACTTGGAAGAGGACAATCTTGAGAAAAGCACCATGAGTTATGCCACTGTCTTCCAGTCAGTTTATTATTCTGTTACTATTTTACTTCAGTGGCTACATAGACGCAATGATAACTGACCTAACACAGAATTGATCTATCTAGAACCTTTTAAAATACACACTATTTGCTATCTACTGATCTTCTCAGAAAGTATCAACTAATGGTGAAATCCATGTTGTTGGCAACTCTTCCTCAATTCTACAGCTTCTATGGACAAGTATCACCTGAGCCTAGGTTCTTCCTACAGACTACAGGAACACTACACAGGCCTCAGAATTAAATGTAGTTATTGTGCTGATACAACTGAAACAGTGGGGAGCTTCAAATTTGTACGGAGAGTTTTAGATATGGTCCAGATGTCCTCCACACTGCACTATCACCTGGTTTACCTGTTTTCAGATATACTGAAGGACAATGCAAAGTTATTGCAATACTACAGAAGGAAATAGCCAGACGGAAATCTCTCAGATGAGATATTTATGTGGATATGAAGTGT